TCCATATATAATACATATATATATAGATTTTTTTGTTTAAAAATATAATATTTTTATTATTCCATTCATACTCTTTAAATATTTGTGTAATATTAAAAAAAATTGCTTAGTCATTAACATACAAATAAGTCAATTACATATATATATATATATATATACATAACATTAACAACTCATAATTAAAACAAAAAAAAATAATGTTCTCGAATGCAATGTATTTTTAAATATTAAATAAAAAAAATTTAATCAATTAAATTTTGAAATAATAATTCGAAAGAATATTAAACTTTTTATTTTAAAACATTTAATGAATTTAATAAATAAATTTAATTAATCATTTAATTAGAATTATAAAAAAAAAAGATGAGAAAGAAAAATATTTAAAAATAATCAAAATAAAATGAAAACGCTAACTCGCTACCAGTGAGTAAAATGAAACTTTATCGCCAGATACTGTAATTGGAACAAACCAGCCATAAGCTGGTCGAGTATAAATTAATGATAAATAGAAACAAAGGTTGTCTTTCAATTCATTCATTCTATTATTGTGTTTGCTGCCTCCATTATTATTTCTTTTAAAATTATTAAATTTCTCTTTTTAAATAATTAAAATTTGTTTTAAGTGTCGCATTTAAAAATTTAAAAACATATCAATAAAAAATATTTTCTATATCTAAATATATATACTTTGGAAATCGTGGTTAAAATTTTATGCCGTAACTGGCCTTCTTGCAAAATCTGTTTTAATTTTTTCACTTTAATATCTAATTCGTATAGAAAGTTATTTTTTAAAAGAAAAATGTATGTAGAGTATACATAAATGGAATAAAAATAATAAAAATACTATCGTTATGATTCATTTGATTTTTCTACAAAATCATTTTATTTATAAATATTAAATTTAAATGATAAATAATAAATATTAAATGATTTTAATATTAATTTTATTAAGTCTATAATTAAGATAATGTATTATGCATTATTGTATGCTAATAGTATATAATAGTATGTATATTTATGCAGGATATACATATTAATAATATTTAATTTCTTTTTTGTGATCAATTTTATCAATTTTGATTACATAAACATGGCTAAAAGAAGAAATAAAAAAAGTAATGAAATAATTTATTGTTTTCTTAATTAATCGTTTCAATGATATCTCAAAGAATTTAGTATTTTAATACATTGTCTGATTGAATATAAAATACATATAAATTTTATCTAGCTTTAAATAACTTTTATAAAAATATAAAAGGAAAGTAAAAATCGGTTATACTTACTATTTTTGTTACCTTCTCGTACTTTGTACGTTAAATCGGTGAATGCTAAATCAACCGGTGGTCTTTTTGGCAAGTGAGTAATCGTTTTATGTTGTGCAGGTACAATTTGCAAACGAGAACCAGAACCTTTTCTAGGTTGTAATAATATTTCATTAGTATTATCTTCATTCGAAGAATTTCCTTCAAGTTTCATTTTGTTCTTTTTTACAACTTTTTATATTGAATTTGCTATAAAATTTAAATAAATCTTCCTCTTTTATGATCGATATTTGTTTAAACGAATTGACTTTTTCGTAATCTTGTATTCTCGCTCTTTATTGCATAAGCATACAAATTCTCTCATTGCCTGAAAAATTATTTATTTTTAAATTTAATTTTTATTTATCTAATATAATATACACATTATATTATATATATTTAAATTAAAAATGTAACCTTTTCTTAAATATGAATTTTATTTTATTATATTTATGAATATAAAATATTACTTATTATATATAATCGTAAGTTTACAAATATTTATTTTTATATTGGAGCATATTACACATATCTTTGGCACATGAATTTTATTAATTTTTTTAGTTATAGAAAAATGTAAATTTATAGACATTTATTTACACATATTTAATTTTAATAATTCTTTAAATAACAAGGTTCTTATTATTAAATTCAATTTGATAAAATCATTCTATCTTAAAGATATTACAATGAGAATTTTAAAGATAAGATCAAATATATTTCAAATAACGCGCGTTCTTACATTATTGAACTAGCAATACGAGAGAAGTCGGTCAAAAAGAGACGACCATAACTTTAGAAGTATATGTTTAACAACTGTATAGATCATCAACTTTATCCTCGAGTCAGAAACAAGAGTAACTTAACTTCTATATTCCGCGTTTTCGAAGCACATAACGACGTGGTTAAATAATTAAAAATAAAACACACACTTACAATTTTTACAATTATACGTAGAACAACAATGAACAATGTTTTTAAAATTATAGGATTATACTAATGATAAACTATTAAAAAATTGGAGACAATAGCCAATTCAACGATCCCTCAACGATACATGAAGCTCGATGTCTCGAGACTGACTGACTGACTCAACCGTTTAGCTGCATCGCGGCCATCACCATTGACCGCCGTTGCTTTCCAGAGTGCTCTTTCTCACTCTGTTTCTCTTTTCACTTCTCTCTCGCTCCTTTTTCCACGCATCCACCATCTTTTTAAGGACACAACAAAGAAAGATAATCAAGAGAGTGATGAGTTAATATGATCAAAGTCGAGATCGTGAAGGAGCTATTTAGTTGTGATCTCTAGTAATCGTTGCTCTATTAGTTGACCGGTTATGATTAATTATTTCAAATAACATTTGAATTTTTTCTCCTGAATTTTGTTCCTTCAACAAGAAAGATTATTAAATTGATCAATTTTTTTAAAATTATAACAATAAAAAATATTTAAAGCATATTTATCTAAGTTATAATAAAAATTCAGTTTTATTGTAGAAAATAATAAATTAATACCATTTCTAATTATTCTTTCATAATTAAGAAAAACGAATGTAAAATACATTTCAAAATACATTTGTTTCTAAATTATTATTATTAAAATCTATTATGAAATTTTAAATAAGTTGCAAGTTATTCGTTATAATGAAATTATTGTTTATCTTAATATATTTTTTTTAAAAGATTAAAAAATTACGTTTTGATTTTTGAAATTTCATGCACGTCATTGATGTTTCATTGGACGTCATCATATAATGTCTTGAATTTATGAATTTATGATTACAATAATAATTTATTATCAATTTAGACGAAACAAAAAGCAAATCGAATTTTATTTTTTCATCGATTTTTTATATGTACATAAAAAAATTAAGTAAATTTTTTCTTTATGTACAACGATTTTTATTTTTTAATTGAATAGAAATAAATATTAATTACTTCATGAAATAATAAATAATTTATGATACATTACACGTTATTATATATACTCATCATTATCAGTTGTACGTATTTTATTTTTTTTTTATTTCTTTTACAACTTCACATTTAATATTTTTTTTAATCATGTATAATTATACATATTATGTATATATACAATTAATTTTTTCATTAAATTTCATTAGATTACAGCAATAATATATTATCAATAAACTTTCATAATTTTTTTATTTAAAATATAAAATAATAATGAATAAGATTGCACAATATTTAATTTAATAATAAATATCCATTTTTTTACAGTTTCTTTATAAAAAAATTCTTATTTAAAATTATATTGACAAAATTATAATAATTATTATGATTATAATTTTATTATTTTTACATTATTTAGTAATATTATGTTTAAAAAAAAAATATTTACTAAAATATGACGAAAAAATATTTTTTAATTAATTTCTCAAAAACAGATTATTTTTCACTTTTTCACTTATGTCAAATTAAATATATATACATATTATATCATGTGTGTGTATGTGAATGCAAAATTTGCTAAAATGAATTTAGTGTATTAGAACAGAGTATAGATTATATTATCGATAAAGTTATCAGTGTTTTATAAATCTATCCCAAATACAGACAACTTACATGAAAGCATAAAGTTTGAATATGAAATTAGGAACTAAGATAAGAATATAATTGTTAGAATTCTGTGCAAGATATTTTATAATTTATATTTTCATATCTTATTATAATTTAATTTATTTTACGATAATAGAATGAGAATATATGAATTGTGTCAAATTTTTTGAAAATATATATAAAATTAAAAATACATTTCTTACTTCAACGTATTTAATAAACAATATAATTTGTAATTATTTTTATTACATATTAATTATTGCATTAAAATGTGAATTAATCATTTGTTTATCAGTTTTATCAATAATTGACTTTATCAAAAAGACTTTGACTGAAGATTACGATTCCATATATATAAATAAAGATTATAATAAAGATATATCATGAATTGTTCAATGTATAATAATATAAAAGAAAAATAAAAATATACAAAAAATGTTTTTTAAAACATCCTAATACAAATAGTTATTTATCGTTAAAAATCAATCTTGAAAAATACAAAGAAATAATTAAAAATTTATAAAAATTCCATCATAAGAACCTCATATATATTACGAAACCACTGGATTCTAATCATAACACATCTTTTATTCATGTATATGTCAATTAATTGAGCGCAATCTTATATCTTTTGTATATCCTCTTATAAGTAATACAAGTATTTGAAAACAGTATTAAATAACATAAATAATATTTCAAATAGAAAAACACAAATTCTTTTTTTTTTTGGTTAAAAATTTAATCAATTATCAAATTAAATCATTATTTAAACTAAGATATCATTGAAGTTTGAAAGATAATTTCTGAAAAATATTTATACTACTTTTGTTTTAAATATAAATTATTATACTAACTAATCGTTTCCATTGTCTAATAAACCATTTTATCTTCTATTTTTAGTATTATTTAATTATTTTTATCTTTGTAAACGGATTTATCTTTATATCAGTAATTAAACTTTCTAAAAATACAAAAATAAATTACACAGTTTTAATATATATTCTTATATGAATTATAATAATGAATAAAATACTGGCAATTAATGGGAAAACTCATAAAATAATTTATATTTCTGTACAGTTCTTACAAATTACAATATCAATTTTTATTTTATATTTTATTCGATTGTTTTATTGAAATTTATAGAAAAATAATTAAAAGAATTAGGAACTATCAAGTTTTTTCAAGAATAAATAACGTAGTCAAATAAAATCTGCTACACTATACAATTTCTTGATTATAAAAATTTGAGGTTATGTTTTAAAGAGATTATGTAGTTTATTTACTTATATTTATGTATTAATTTTTCATATTTTTATAAATAATACAATTTTCTAGCATACAATAATATGAATATTGAAACAAACTTTATTCATTTCATTTAAATTACAGAAAATAAAACAAATACAACATACCAATTTTACATCTATTAACATTCTATTAATTGTATTAATCAATATGAGATATTGTTTTGTACGCTTTGATCTGTTTAATTGATAATTCTTCATTTTAAAATCCAATATATTAATTAATCACCAACAAAATTATTAAAGTCACATACTTATAATATCTTTTTGTTTTTTTAAATTTCCGAATATTATCTATGTTTTTCAACCTATTTTACTTCCTATTCATTTCATTTGAATATGTTGATAATTTATATTGAAAATGAATATGTTCGTTTTCAATATTACAATTTTGTAATTTTATTTGCTCAATAATAAATTTAAACAATATTATATCGTTAATTGATAGCAGAAATAATTATTTTACAAATATATTTATTTTTTGCAATATAAATATTTATGTATTATTTAGAAAAAAGATAATAAATAAAGATGATAAATAATAAAGAATAAAATGTGCAAATGTAAGATAATATATCTAATAGTAATTTTTATTTTTAATATTATTTCACGTGCTGAAATTAGTAAAAATTGTAATTGTAAATTACAGCCATTAGCAAATTTGTTTTACTTATACAGTAATACAAATTTCCCAAGTCACACCACGAGGAGGTTGCTGCAAATGGTGACTCGCCCTATCTCCAACGATCCCATCCACCCTCCTTTACAAATTTTAATCTGCGGTAGGCAATCATCGCAGTACATCAACCGTTTATTCCATTTGGAACAGACGGTATACAAAAAAATGGACCTACCCGAAAAAAGAGGTAGACGTGCTAATCATCGCCTATCCTCTTTTTAATCTAACACATATACCAATCCCTAGCTAAACTTATAACTAAGCTAAGCCCTAGCTAAAGTAGATTTTTAATAGGCAGGATTTATAAACTGTGCAATTGTTTAATTTATATGTTATTCAATGGCGAACTTCTTAATAAAAGAAGAGCCTAAATAACGGAACGATACTATTTAAAATATAAAAAAGAATAAAATTCTAAAATATAAACTGTGCTCATTTGATTACATTGCTCGTCTCGTCCGATACGTCGTCACGAGGATAATTGATATTCCTCTATTTCCGTCGCCACGGTCATAGAAGGTAGAACGAAATAGAATATAAACATTAAGTGCGTTATTATTCTATTTACGTATTGCGAATTTTGGAGATGAAACAAAGCTAGAAAACTGCGTTTCTTTGCGATGCAGAGAAACAATATTTTTTTTGCTTCCGTTCATCAACAATCGCAAAAGATCCCTAATGGGTTACCAATTTTATACGTGTGATCTCCTTAGCCAAAATAAAGGCAATTAAGAAATGACAAAATATGTCGAATCACCGCATAAAACGGGTCATGTAATGGCGGTGCACGTCACGGGCATCCTCTAATTCAAAAGAATCAGATTATTCCCAAACGCAGCACAAATTATATCTTCTTTGATCGTAATTCTTTAGAAAGAGTTGCAAAAATCCTGTTCAAATTAACTACGTCAAAAGAACAAAGAAAATGGCAACTACTTCTATTTGATCTTACTCTCACGAAGTATATAACTTTTAACCTTACAGACATAAAAATAGAAGGAAAGAAAATAGGAAAAGGGGACTTACGATCGTCCGGGATTACAATGAAACCAAATTGCACTACGCGGAAGACGCGGAAGATCTGAAAAACACTAACATATGAAACGAAACTATTGCACGATAGTCTAGCTTGAACATGACGTTACGAATTAAAATAAAATAAAATTAAGAGGAATGATTAAAAAACGAATTATTAGAAATATTAGAAATATTAAGATCAAAATTTTCAAAGGAATGATAAATTATTAAAAACAAGAATATGACAAAAGAAGTTCACCACGCGATCGTTCAAGCTAAACTGACATGGCACCGGCATAACGTACAACGTAACGATCAACTACGAACATCGATTGAGCTGCCACCGGAAGTTATATTTCTGTTATTTATTACGATTTACTTAATAATTCTTCTATTAAATATTAAAGAAAGACAAAATTGTGAAAATAAAATATTACAAAATATTTTAATTTTATTATATATACAAATGCGTTTATAATCTTTGCCGAATTGAATAAAGAAAATAATAATTTTTATCGTTAAAGGAAATTCTTCTTGATAGAAGCGACATCTATAAGAATTGCGTTGTTAACGGACTGTTATTATCCCTACCATTTTTGAAAACATCTATAGATATGTATGCTAAATTACGTTGCAGAATTTCAACTTTTATGTATTTAACATAAACAAACTTAACTTTTGTTTGAAATTATATCATTGTCTATTTCTTTCATCCGTTTCACATCGCATAACATACTATTTTATATAATTCCGTAAACATGAAAGGTCAAGTTTCTTGTTACTTAATAAAAAAAATTAAAAATATAAATATATTTCTTGATATCTTTAAAAATATTCATTATATTTCTATAAAAATTTTTTTAATATTAATTTTTCAATTTTTTTTATTTATTTCTTTTTTGTTTATTCATTTACTTATTTTATTATGTATATTTTTATATATAAATAATGTAAAATAATATTATTATACAATAGTATTGTTTTATGAAAAAAATAATAAAAAATATAATTATTTTTTGAATTTTTACTTTATTAATTTTTATTTACAAATATATTTCGATTACACTCCTATAACGATAATATGTACATATCATTTTCATTAATTTCATCAATCATGAATATAATTTTTCATTAAAATTAGAAACATATAAGGAAAAAAGAAATTGATCATAGTTCTAAAACAAATATCAATTAGTTTCTATTTATATCTAGGAAATATCTAGAAAATGAAATGCAGTTGATATTTATATTTTATCAATTTTAATTGTTTAAAAAATATTTAGGAACGTTATTTTAGATCCTTTTGTACAAAGATACATACAAATAGTATATATAAGAGAATCAATATTAATCATCGTTCTCTTTTTCTCTTTTTTTCTCTGAAGCAGTTTAATAATATATATTTTTTGTTTAATTTTCGAAAAAAAAGTTTTACTCTTAAATATACTAACGAAGTCGTCTGGCTTCTCTTTCAGATTCTAAGAGCGTTAGAATGTCTCCTTCTCGTACAGGACCTTTCACGTTCCGAATTAACTGTCTGTTTTGTTCATTCAAAAACTCCACTTTGACTTGCGTACATTGCCCTTGAGAACCCGTTCTGCCGAGAACTTTCACTACTCTTGCACGAACTATAGGTTTCTCCATGTTTCTTGAAATTTCTGGATTTTCTCAGTTATTGCTCAATTGATTGCAATAGATTTAGAACGAATTCTATAAACTGCATTCAATTTCTTACCAACTTAATTATAAAACTTCTAATAAGTATTCTAAAATATACTTCAAAAGTTGTTTGAAATAATATAAGAAATGAGATAAAAAATATTAAGAAAAATTAATGTTATGAAATTAAACGTACTGTAATGAAATAAATAATTTATTATATTCCATAATATATTTATCTTAAATTGCAATGAAATGAAAAATTCGAAGATGCCTTGCTTTGGCAGCATTGCTAAAAGCAAGTTTAAAATAACTGTTCCTCCATTAGATTCGTTGCTTTTACACCACGTGTTCCTGACAAACTCTTTTAGTTACAATTTTAAATTTCATATTTGAATCGTGCCAATTAGTGGTAATGAATAAATTTTGAATAAAGATAACAACGTTATATTTTTACACATTATACAGATGTTTTTATTCATTTGTGCTTTAGTATAAATGTGTCATTCCTGATTCAGAATACGAAATGTTACATTTAAAAATCTTGTAAGGATTTGCAATCTCCTCCTCCCGCGTGGGATATTTGTTTTTTAAATTCTTTTGTTTGTTTCACACGTATCTTTATTTGTTTTCTTCGATGTCATACCCACAAACGCACAATCTTACACACGTACCTATAATTTTTTCTTATATAAAATTACAATACTTGAAAAAAGTGTCATGAATGTATGCGATATATGGTTCGAACAATATACATTGTATATTGTACATTTGAAATATGTGTCCTAAAAGCGGAAACGTCTTAATCAATTCTTTTATGCTGCGCTATCTATATGCAAATATGATAGTATATTATTCAAATTCTGTTTTAGCAGCTCTTTTGATAGTTTTGTTCGCAAGATGGTCACATGCAATTAAAAAATTTTTTTGTTCACTATTACAGTCTCAATTCTCGCGAGCCTTGAACACAATACGCGTGGATTCGTATGGATCGAACTTAACATTTTACTGCTTTTACGTCTATTAATTCTCAGTTACGTATGCGATTACGCAGCATTAATAAAAAAAAAAAAAAAAAAGAAAATCAAAAACTTGAAATGAAAAAACAATTTCAATAATGCAAATGAATAGTAAACGAATATTCAATTTCAAATGAATCGGTCAATGTTGTGTTTAAACCTTGGTTCTATACGTATACATATACATGTAGCCTATTTCTATGTATTACTTTTATAAGTAAATCTATGTATTAAGATTATAGACATAACTATGGTACAATAGAATCGAGTTACTTCCAGATTTTGTACAGCTCACTTTCGTCACATGATGAATGGGAACCAAGGTCTAAACAGATAAACGAAATTTTTTTTTAAATGAAAATAAATAATCGTTATACGTATCTGATTATCTAGATAATTTCAGTATCTTATTATTACCCCATTTCCATTTTTAATTTTCTTATGTTTACACCATTTTATATATACATCTCATAAAATTTTATTCTCGTATAATCAAACAATTGTTTGACGATACTGAATCACAGACATTCCAAGTTATTCCTAAAATGTATTCGAAATGAAATACAAATAATCATACGCAATATTCAAATTCACATGTTAAAATTGATTTTAACATTGATGATTTGATTGATTGAGAGTATAATGTTACATATTAATTCTTTGCAATGATAAAAAGTAAAATGAGAAGAAAATATTCATATAATGTAATATAATATAATATGTCGTTGTTTCTATATGTATAAATTCGATTAATTTATTTATTATATATAATGATAAGTAAAAATGATAAATAATAAATACATAGCCAATCTAAAAATATGAAAATTGTTTGCCTATTTCTTTCTACTACTCTTGCCCTATATTTCGTAATAGATTTTTTTTCATATTACGATTTTTTCGTTTAATATTCATTTTGTATATGAAAAAATAAATTATGCAACGATGTTAACGTTCAACGATAGCCCCAAAATTTGTAATTGATATATAATTCTTAATTTTGAATAATTAAAAATAAACTTAAATTTCAATTTAAAATGATTAAGTAAATAAAAATTTCCTAATATTTTTTAGTACAAATTCTAAGCATTTAAAAGTTTATAGTAAGTACTGATTTTAAGATTAAAGATATCTAATAATTGTACATTCAATATATAATTAGAATGCAATTTATATTCATAATTAGAATAAAATAAGGAATAATTCATCAAAGAGAATAATAATATATAATATAATAAATTTTAATAAAAAAGTGATAAATTTGATTTACATTTGATATTGAAATATAAAAATATTTATGTGATAATTTTTTTTAATTGATTTAAAATTTAAAAAATTAAACTTAAATGTAACGCTATTAAATATTAATAATAATAATAATAATAATAACATTATTATAATTATGTAATTATCCAAACACGTGTACGACTATTATGAAACATGATATGAGATCTAATTGTAAGTTAAAGAAGAAGTCTATCAATTTTTTATTTTCTTCTTTTTCTTCTCCAGTCATAAGTAAATGAATTCGTAGCAGTTAGAATATAATGCATAGGCCGTGAACAAAAACTCCTGTAAAAGTTTCCAAAATCAGAATAATCTTTTTGTTACATCCTATTATATTTTCTTCTCTCTCTCTTTCTTTTTTTTTTTTTTTTTTTAGTCCTAATTTTTTTCTTTTTTTAATAATATACTCCCCTCACCTCTTTAATTAAATGACTATATTATAATAAATGTAACAATGTTCAGCACTCCAGACTTAGAAGCAAACGCACAGGCAGCTAGTGATTGGTCAGGTGTGAGCTTTTTACAATATTATGTTTTATAATTTTTGTTCGCCTCTTAAATATTATATAGTTATTGAATTATCTATAAATGGAATGACGATATAGTAAGGATTGTTCGCGACCTTGATTTAGTACAAATATTCAGATATCTCGTTGATATACGTACATAAATATCGGGCAAGATAAATTCATTTTTGGTGCTTCAACATGTTGGCTAAAACTTATTTTTGTCCGATATGTTAAACGATTATTATTGGTCGTTTGATATATCTTCGAGATATCTTTTATAGATAATGATTAAGTGAATATAACTATCGATGTAAATGTGAGAACAATAGAGGATCTATTCTAATCTTTGATTTGTAAATTTTCTATTGCTTATCTATATATATATAAAAAAAAAAAAAAGTCTATGTTATTCGCGTGATGTACACACGCGCTCGTTGGAGGGACCATGAGTCTTGAATGGGCCTAAGGCTCCTGGCGAGTTTGTAATAATTGGCTATCAATGTTTGCATTTCGATAGAATACGTAATTACCAACGGTGGTCTCTTTTCTGATTTATTATCAACGATTTACAATTTCACGCTATTTTTGCGTACTCTAATTTATTAAAAAATGTCCTAAACCGTCTACGCGTACCATTTATCTGTGTTTTTTTTATCATTAGTCTCGTTCAATGTCATATGATGCACTTGGATGTTATGTCTATTATTTATATGCAAGAATGAGAGAATCGAAAATAATAAGAAAATAATGAAATCGTACAAGTGAATTATCTTCAGAAGAATTGAAAAACAACCGGCTTAATGCCGAGGGACTTATTGAGAGATATCATATCTGTGTAACATAAAATAATCAATAAATCACATATTCTCAATATCTTATTCGAACTCAATTGATTTTAGTCGCTTTAACATGTTTTCTCCAAATTCAACAAATTTTGCATCAATATATAAATCATATAAACTGAACTTGAGGGTACAACAAAAAACGAAATCTTCATAAAAATATAAATATTTGCTTAACTTTCCTTGTATTTGAATAATATTAATTGCAATTTATTATTATATTTATATTAAAGCATTATATTAAAGCACATATAATTAAGAGTGCAGATTTCTCAAACTTCGATACTTTTAACAAAATTCAAAGTAACGAACGACTCTAATAATTATAATAGGATTTCTAAAGATGATTTTATAGTTTTTGTCATTGCATAATCGTAACATAAACGCATATATGAGATGAGCTCAAATAAGTATATAAAGTCTTGATACTTGAGAAACAAATAAAAATTAAAATATTGCGTCATTTCACATGCATATATGTTCTGCAATTTTGCTGAAATGTCTGAATTTTTTTCATTTTCAATAAAAAAAAAAAAAAAAGAAAAAATAAAAATTCAGAATCATAGAACCAGCAATTTCCAAAGATTAAATTTTTTAATGGTGGATTAAGATGAAACGAATATTCGTAATACGATGATCTATTGATTATCGATTATATTATCGCCACGTTTTAACGAAGAGATCGTAACTTCAGTCTCAGTACAAAGTAGGCGATCACTCTCAAGGTAAGCAAAAAACCTGTCAACGCAACCGCGTCCTGCCAAAAGACGGCGTTTTGCATCGACATTTCTTCGAGGAACTTCGTCGGGCTCTTGAAATGGCAGTACGCGTCGGAACACTTGAGCTTAGCACGATTATAACCATACACAGAAATCATGGTGCCTTCAAAACTATATCTGACATAACTTACGTATGAAAGAAATTTTAGATATTTTGGAATGGCGTCAAAATTGACGAAGAAACCGGAGAATAAAACAATTGGCACTGATGATACAGGCCCAATGAATACTCCAGTCTGGAAAAGAAGGAGAATTTTTTTTTCTTAAGTTTTGGAAAAACAATAAAAAATATCGATGGTATTTTATATAAATACGAAATACGTGTTACCTCCACACTCATCGCTGATCCTATCACTAAACCGATAGATTGAGAAACTAACGCTGTTAATATACATATTGTTAAATACATCATGAATCTATTTGTTTCCAATGGTTGCGACGTCATGAAATATACAATTATGACGTATGCTATAGAATATACTATCTGCAATGAAAATAATGAATTGAAATGTGTTTTAAAAATTTAAACGAATATAATAGCATTCATGTTAAATTAAAAATACTAACTTGAAATGGTACATCGGCTAAAGTTCTCGCAAGATAATAAGCTTTTACGGAATACCAGTAATTTAAATGTTCTCTTACAAATACTGCCATTTCTATTGGAACTATATTAAAAAACAAATTATTACATATTAAATTAATACGTATAAGTATACATAGTAATTAGTACGTGTAAGATATAAACAACAAAGTTTAATTATTTATTGTACATTTTTTACTTACATGTAAGAATGGTAGGCATCATTGCGGTGAACATGAGAAACATTACCGTAAAGAAAACGCAGCCGGCATTGCTCATTACTCGTGAAGCATCATTGCCGATATCATAATAAATTGCACCAATGAGAAACCCAACGATTATATGGGAAATCAGCCTTACTCTCGTTAATGTCTACAATAATAGAATATTTTTTGAGCGAAATATTTCGTATTATTACTATCAAATAACATCACAAACAACATGTATGTAAGTGTTATTAACCATGTCTCTTATTTGTGACAAGAATATCCTTTTAAGAAGGATCCAAAATTGGGTCCAACTATTCGTTGGAAAGCCAACTTTTTGCTCAATACTTTCTGCACTATCCAATAAAGAAGTTGTGCAAGAAATTGGTATGTTAATTACTGTTCCGCTATTTGGTTTTTTTGCTACACCGTTCGGTATTAAAGCAGTTTCAGATTTTGTTTCTTGCTGCGGGGACTCCTTCGCGATATCATTCGATACAGTTTGCACCGCATTCATGGTACTTTGATAATGTTGATAATTAGCACATTTACCATTATTTACAGCCATAACTAATTTATGCACACATTCTCCATGTTCTCCACACGCCACTTCCATAACTAAACAGAATTATTTTTTTTTTTTTCTTATTAATAGATTTTGATTATTATTAAAAGCGTCAATGTAATTTTCATCTACCATAATCCGCTGGGTTATGATAACTGGGACATTCCAAGCCCACTGATGATAGAAAGGGCACCAGGCCGCCAACATTTCCTTGATATATACACTGGCCCTCGGCCAAAAGGTACAAATGATCGAACATTTCAAATAATCGTGCGCTTGGTTGATGTATCGTACATATGATAGTCCTTCCTAAAAATACCATAAAAGTAATAAATTTTTATATTAATAAAATAGCGTATTATTAAATCATGATTAAATAAGAATTTATTGCTAGATTACCTCCTCTACTTAATGATTTGAGCAAACTTAAACATTGATAACAAGTTGAACTATCCAAGCCAGAAGTTGGTTCATCAAAAAACATCACCGGAGGATTGTTAACAAGTTCCAACCCGATCGATAATCTTTTTCTCTGCCCTCCGCTAAGACAATGAGTCTGTGTATTGCTCGCATCGCTTAGGCCAAGCGTTTCGATTATTTCCTCGATCTGTATAAAGACGATTTTATAACAATTGTTTAAAATGACCTGTTTGTTTGTTTTAAAAGTTTTCGCCTTTAGTAGTACCACAATTTTTTTTGCTGTTGCGCTGATATCTTTCCCTAATTTCAAATTAGCAGAGACCGTCATCGTCTCATAAACCGTTAGATGAGGTAACAGACGGTCATCTTGCATTATGTAACAAGACATCTTTCGAAATCTCCTAAGATTCCTGTCTTTCCCGTTTATCAGAACAGAACCGCTCAGATGAGATGTCCTGAAAATACAGAATATTATTATCGTATTTTTTCAATTGGCTTATTTATATTTACTATTTAGAAATTGTTGAAAACATAACTTACTTGTACCCTGCCAAAACGTTCATAAGTGTACTCTTTCCAGCACCCGAAGGGCCCATAATGGCGGTCAATTCTCCGGATCGAAATTTTCCATTCACACATTTCAGAATTGTTTTATATCCTGTAAGATAAAATATCCGAGATATAAAATTTACAGGCAGTGAAAGTAACGCTCTTTTCATTCATTTACTTATTCACTATTTTCCATTTGTGTATTTTACATTTCAAAAATTAGGATTTGTGATTTTTGTTTTCCAACTTGACAATATTCGAGATAACATAGAAATTTCACTTAATCGCAGCTTTCACGAATACTTAGACTCTCTAGCTGACCTCTTTTAATTGTGAGTACAATTGCACCTCCAAGGTATATCTGGACCGAAACGGAATAGCTTGTACATATCTATTGATTCTTTCAGCTAGCTCATTGTTGAATATATTGAACAAAGTGCCTACCGAGTATACTTTCACGTTCGAATATGCGTATTGTTCTTGTAATACGTTATTCTTTTTTCGTTTTTTCGAAGACCAACCTCTCTTTCTGCCTTCTGACACGCTGTACGCTAGATTCTTGAACTCAATGTCGACCGGTGGCCTCTTCGGTAAATGCGTCAGTGTTACAGCCGGCCTTTTGCCATCCTGTCCTGGGCTATGGTTTGGTACTTTCCTTGCGAACATGCTATTGCTACACATCGAAGCCGCGGTACCATTGGATGCGCTGCCATTGCAATTGCAGTGAAGATTATTTTGCGAGTTACTGGAACACACGAGAAAGATTAGTATGACAAAGTTTAAAAAGGTTTTTTTTTTTTTAAACATTTCGAAAAATTTCAATAAATGTATCGATTTAAAATATTATTTCGATTCTAGTAAGTAAATAAAGTAAGTAAATCAAATTAACGAGTAATCAAACTCATTCTTGTTGTGGTTATATTAGTTATTATTATATCATTCGATGTTCATCGATGTTCGTTGTTCTTGATTTTTAATTAAAAATAAGAAAATTCTTTCCACTCCACCAAAATTTATTCCTTGTCGAACGTTTGAATTGATGTGGAATAAATTTTAGAAGGGCTGCGGGTCAAAAAAGGATATGGTGTTTGTAATTTGATCTTTCACTTAGTTTTATGGTTTCGATAAGAATAAGAATCAATTTAATCGATATCGTACACGTGTATTAACAAGATAAATCGATTAAATTTTTGCGAACGAATTCGAGAAATTTCGCATAATTATGAGTCATTTAATTTGAATATATATACACCTATATTTTTGTAATTTGAGAAACAATTTTTTAATAATTTTTTTCCAGGCGATCTAAATTTAACAATTTTTTTTTACTTTTATTACAACGGCAAATTCAACGAAACAATCAGAAGGAAGCTTTGTAAAAGGCTTAACGCGATCAATGGAAAGACCTTGAGATCCGTTTTAGTCGTATTTGGGATATATTAGTTCGCGTGTTCGATGTTCCCTTGATGACCGCAGTTTCACTTATACATTGCCAGTAATATGATATATCTGATAAAATTGTTGCTTAATTATATGAAAATTAATTGATAAAAATTTTAAAAATTCAAATTTATTTTCATTATTTATTAATAATAATTCCTCTGGGCATATTGTTTCAATTACACAGAGATTATAATAATATATAAATCATAAAAATTACACGTTCGAAAGAATATTTGATATAGATTTGGAAACTTTAATTCAACAATATTATTCACATAAAAATTAAATATCAGTTTGTAGCCATTGAGAACGATCTTTGCAATTGTGGTAGTCAATTTTTTTTTTTTTATAGAAAGCATTTGTACACAATACTGTTTATTATGCAAATATCAGTATCAGCTATTATATTTTATCCTATTTATGTAAAAATGCTATATTGATTCAAAGTTGACAAAAGTTTCAATCATTCAAAGAATATACTATTATGCTATACATGCTTTCGTTTTTAAGAGAAGGATCCATATAAAAGAAATCTGCTATATTCAAAGTTTTCTATTGTTCTTCAATACATAATATACAAATTTCTTGCCGCACACGTGAATTGAAATTCCAATCCAATCCAACATATTAAATGTTTAATTTTTTAATATGCCATCTTTATTAAGAAATATATACCTGAGAACAGCATTATTGAGATTTTCCAAATGCAGAGAAGGTGGAGGAGATTTAATTGTCACCTGATGACTTCCACCTGGAATGAACTGTACTTGTTCATCGCCACTGTATCTAGATCCTCCTCCACCGGTCAAAGCAAGATTTTTTAAATCTGCCATCATCTCCTGATGCTGGAACAATCAATTTGGCCAATTGAACTTCTTCCAAGCACAAAAGTTTCGTCGATAAAAACTTTTTTTTTTTTATGACGTGATTAAGAGAAAATTGTATTTGTAACGTTAATCTGTTAAAAGTTAATCAAACTGTCATGTTAAAAAGTGAATAATTTAACTTTTTATTTTGTTAAAACTCATTAAATTGGTCAGACTTTTTTTTATATAAAATTTTAAAATTATTCTAATTAGTTATAAAATGAATAAAATTCTTCTTATATGACATTCTTTAAAACTTATTTTTAGAATAAACCTAAGATAAATACGTACATTCAAAGCAAGGACTATGGAATCATCGATATAAATTCGAGCATATAAGATTGTCTCCTTTTTTTGCTCGTTGAATAAAACTTTCTTTTCTTTCTTTTTTTTTTTTTTTATTCTCTTTTTCCTTTTCCTTTCTTTTTTTTTTTTGTTCCTTTAGTATTAGTAAAAATACTATTATATTCTTAACATTTATTTGCTAGTTATTCAAGAGATGAATAAATCTTATATGAATCTCAATTGAGAGAAATATTAACAAACATATTAGATTCTGATGGATATTTCTTTTCGTTCATTATTAAATATATTTAATAATTTTATTACGCACATTTTAATTGACATTTTAATTATATATCTAAGAAAAAGAAAAAAAAAGATTATTTTTTTTTTTTACATACGACAATGATAGAAAAAAATAATATTTCAGACCCACGTGTTACTATTGAAAGATATGATAACGCTCTTGTAATTATCGGACAATATTATAACACGATATATTACTGATCAAATACGATAATTGAATATCGTCTATTCAATGAAATAATTAAAGATTGAATATGATGAATGAGATAATCGTAATCGTTTTTGAATGCAATCAGATTAAAGATCACGATATTTTTCAAAATATAATATGTAAGTCAGAACACGTGTACATGTCTTGCAAAAAAAAAAAAAAAAAATAGCGAATACACAGATTCATAAAATATTGATTACAGATGATTACAAATTTTAATTACTGATCGATCAATTGACGCAATCGATATGACTAACAATTCGTAAAATTTAACATATTTTTTCACTTATTTTGACAAGATATCTATATGTATATTCAAATATGTTAATTTAATACAACCAATATAAGAATAAGTTATTAATTATTAAAGAAATTATAAATATTAAATATTATAGTAGTTTGGATAAATAAAGATTATATAATATCTTTGTTTCGGCCAATAAATTCATAGACGCGTTATAGCATCTGCTAAACTAACGCATAAATCGGTCATGATCGTACCAGGGTCAATGTCCATTGCATCTTCCGAGAAATATATTATTTACCTTTAAACAAAATTGATAATGTTGAGGGCATGCTCAAATTCAAATAAATATTTAAATGGGCAAATAATGTATGTAAAATCAATTACGCTTGTTAGAATAATGATTCAATGTATACAACAACATATATTATATTATTATCATTTTTTCATTTTGGTCAAAGTTTCGAACGATTTCACTTTCGCGTGTACTAATAATAAAATTCTTTTTTTGCCAACAAATAAATTTAATCATCGTTTTTTATTTAAATATAATAAACTTGAAATAAAAAATATTAAAAACATTAAATTTTCTATATTGCAAATATTAAGTTGTTAAAATTTAAACGAATTTCGTTAAATTTTTTTTTATTAAATTATGTTGTACGTGATAGCAAGAAGTAAATATAAAATATATATATAAATAAAACGCAATGAACGATGTACGTAAAATTGAATTTCTTTTTCTAATGATTCTAAATTCAATTTTAAATCTAGGTATATCATCATATTATAGAATTATAAACTTTAGTAGTAAATACTGCTATAGGTATTTATCGAACATGTGTTTTAACAAAAGTCACGAAAGTTGAAAACAATAAAAAGGACTGAAAGTAATTAAATTATTAATGATGATAATATGAAAAAAAAAAATTAATATCACTTACATTTTCTATTAGTTTTCTATCAGAAATTATTAATTTTTTAATATAATAGCTATTGATATTTTTATTTTGTTATTTTCAAAAAATATATTTTTTCATTTCATAATAATATTAACTAAACAATGAAGAAAAACAAAAAAGCGGACATGAGTTACAGTAGACAAAGAAAGATGGTTAAATCTTTAAGTAGAATAAGGGCTGCGCGAACAATGATTAAGTAAAAGTGATTTGTAAAAGTGTATCAGCTAAATAAAACATAAAAAATTTCTGTCTTAAAATAATTATAAATAGAATGTACTCACCATCGGTCGAAGGTAAATTTAGGTATCCAAACGGCGTTCGAAATCATACCCTGATGATGACACGGTGCATCCTCTGTCTCTCCGCCCTTTCTTCTGACGCTTCACCATGCACAGCAATCGCGTTAGAAAGAAATAATGATCACAAAAATTACAATAAAGTGAAAAGTAACTAGATAGGTCGTAGTGAATCGTTATGATATGCTTTAAATCCTTGTCTTCGTTTTTTCAATTGTTAATGAGGAATTTTTCGAATCGCAAAACGGTATCCGTTTTCGAAAATAATATTTAATAAAGATTGCAATCAATTATGTTATGCAAACACGCATAAATGAAAATCGAAACGCAAAGCAGCTAACCGATTCGCAGTACGAACTGCAACTGACAGCGAAGAGAAACGATCAGACGACGCAACACTGTCCAGAATCAGCTGTCGTGCTATGCACCATCGTTCGCCTCTACCAACCAAATGAACTGAACTGTCCAACTCGAAACCAGGGACGACTATAATCATCGGAGCCCTCTCCCACTTGCATGTTTCTTCTATCTCTTGGACTATTGGTCTTGAAGTCTGAACCACGCGATCAGATTTATAAGCGTTGCGCGTTTTTCGTTATTTTTTTATTACTCATGACTCAGGATATTTTCTTTTATTATTTGTATTATTTTTAATAAGAATAAAAAACCAAAATGCTTTTACTCCTGTCTCTTTTTTTTGATTTTATGCAATGACAATTTTTCAAATAATAATCATAATTTCATTCAAAATTCAAAACAATGCCAATAAATGACAAACATAAAATAAGATTTAAGACATTTATCTAAACTCTAAAATCATCCGTTTCAAAAATTATATTTAATTTTTTTAAAATACGTTTACGAAGTCTTATGTAAGAATACATTAAATTGAAGAAAAAAGAATTATATAATTTTATTGAGTATTGTTTTTCGGAAACAGGACAGTTTGATATATTATAATGATAGGAATAAATGAAATGATAGAATATCTGTTTGTAATTTATATGCATGATATGCAATATAATTTGAAGGTTAAATATTATTTTTTTTATCGGAGAGTAATATATGTTTACAAATCATATGACAAAGGTTAAATAGAATCTTAATGCGCGCGTTAAGAAGTTTTGTAAAGTTTCAAAAGTTTGGCTGTAGGGCATGATAATGAAATGTTACGTTCCTGTTTTTCTTGCGCATGCACAACAATGTACTACATCGTTATAGGGTCGAAATTCCCGTAGACGGTTCCGTAAATTTCGTCCTCGGCGAAATTTATATTTCATCTCGTACAACAGAGAAGGGGCAATACAGGAAAAGAGAAAGAAGCAAATTATATTAGAAGAATCGAGATAGAGAATAGATGGATGAGGGATAACATTTCAAGAGGAAGCAAGAAAGAAACAAGTAAAGGAGAAGGGAGAATGAGTTACCACATATTGTGGGTCGATACTCTAGCACTAGCTCGATGTTCGGTACTAGTGTACTTATATATCTGAGTACATCTGCACCAAGAAATGCGTTTGACTCATCGCAAGTGCGAAGAAAGAGAGAGGGTTAGTGTACTCAAACGACGGCAAGGGCTGCTGCACTTGTGAATGAAGATAGACGTTTAGTTTAGTTTTTTTGCAAAATATAATATCTCTTTGCATTTCTATATATATTTCAAGCGCTTTTAAATGTTATTTTGTATTTATGTCAAAGATAAATATATCTAAAAGTATATATATATATTCTTCGACAATTACACAAGACGAAATGATTATTATAATACTTTCCCTATTTTTTTTCGTACTAGGAATATACATATGTAAATATATAAATAAATATTTTTTCCTCATAATTTGAAAATTATAAAATAAAATCATATATTTTTTCTATAAAATTTTATTATATACATATATGATCCTTTGTTTTCGCTGACGCCATCCTGAAAAGCGCATCAAGTTTCATCCTGTTTTCTACTTTATCTACCTACTTTTTTCTACCTTATCATAAAATCATGAAGGATATTTATCATAAATTGTTTAAATTTTTATCAGATATTTAATGCATTGCTATAAATTTAGTGTCATTTTTAAAATATGAAAATACACTCGAAAATTCATGCAATATATATTCTATTAGCAAAAATATATATATTTTGAATTATAACAATTAAATTATAGAATTTTCTATATTAGGCATCGATGAAATTCCAACGATAGATTATCTTTTGTTTTAACCAGTTACTGACTCACTCACAATCAGAAGCAGACTAGGAATGTAGATATACCTATAGATACATCTTGTTTTCTTGGTAAGGTGAATACACGCATATTTCTCTGAAAAGAGACAATTATTTCGAATATTCTCAAAGAATGTTACATAGAGAATTTATAAATTTATAAATAAATAATACACAATAATATACAATCTATATACATGTAGTTTATATATACTCTTATATATCTGCAAATAATTCTAACAAAAAGAAGTCAAATTTTGTTCTTTTTTGGATGTATTAAAAAATATAGAAAATATTTTGAAAAAATTTCTATTTTCGATATTCAAATCGAATAATATCGCACGCTAAAATAACAAATTTTAGAGAAGAAATTAGTTAGTAAATCTATGATTGTTATTATTCTTATCGTTTTTAATACATACGAACAAAGTCTGGAATAGGAGTATCCTTTTTTTGCGTCATTTAGTCACGTTTTATTCCGCAGAAAGTGCTGTTGCATGTGTGATACATATATATACATATATACCAAATCAAATAACATATTTGTACTGATCCGATAAGTGTATCATAAATTAAATTACTAAATATTCTTCTTTTTCACATGAGAATATTTTTTTTACTGCGAATATATTGCACATGCAAATCGAATGATGTATTTTTCATTGATATCGTTTATATAAACAGTTAAGTATAATCAGGGATGTTCTATCAAGCCAATTTTTACGTAATCGATCTGTCTGCTTTTGTATTCTATTTTGAGAAAAGTTATTGTTATATTAAGTGCATTAAATTATATGACATATATAACAAATAGAAATAAACTAATTTAGTTTTAGATTGATTTTCAAAAATTTTATATTATTTTTATATGTTAATACAAATATTTAAATTTGATAAATAACATATAAATCAAATAGAAATATACATAGCAAGTTTTTTAATATCAAATAACAACAATATTTCAATTTTCTTTGAAATTTTATAGATTAATCAAGAAAAATCAATCATATAGAGGTTATAATTTTTTTAGTAATTTTATATAGAATCTTGATATGAATCTTGTCTTATATCTAAATTAGATACAAATACACGTGTCTTATATCTGGCTGAATACAAATACAATATAACAAAAAATTGTATAGATATATTTATTAGAACCTTATTTATTATAATTTTTATTAATTTTTATAATATTTTGATTTTTAATAAGAGATATTTGTATTATCATTATCACATAAATTTACTTGATTATTTCTTGCAAAAGATTTTATATTATTTTAAGTTATTCAATTTGTAGCGAATTATTAGTTTCAGAGTAAATACATACGTCCATCTACAATTCCAAGAAAATAAACTTTATAAATACTTAGAGAAGAAAGTCTCGACTCTCTACATTCCACATCTTTGACTACAATCATATTATTGCATATTTAGATACTATTTCCTCGCAGCTACGAGTTTAATCAAATTATTTTCAATGTTCAAAGTCACAATTTATCAATTTATCAATCTTAAAAATATAATCTCGAAAAAAAATAAATTGTCGTTTCGATCAAGATAGGTCCTTGATTTTGAAACGACAAATTACAATAATATATCTATGTTATATCGTATCTTTGATGTTAGGACGATTATCGAATTTTTATAATCAATTTGATTAAAATTTACTCTTGAGAATCTGTCGTGATCTAGCTGTCTTATTCCTGCTCTGATAGTAAATATCTACGTAATTCGAGCTACAATGTTCAGTGCAACTGTACTTGATTTGACATCCGCATGAAAGATTATTTCTCTTGACATTAGACGTATCAGAGCAAGGGATTTGAGCATTTTTATGTTAATAAAATAATTTTATTTAGATTTATTTATTATTTACTAGTTTATTGGTTATCTTCAAACGTTATAACTTTAACTTTATATATTGTATAATATTTTAACATAATATTTTGAAGTCAAGCTCCTAATTATTATACTCTTGAAAAGAAAATTTAATTCGCGGATTTTTCTCATTAATATTACTAAATCTATGTTGATTGTTGCTGATAATGAGAATATGATTGGAAAGTATTGTTTCAATTTTCTCGATTACCCAATCAAATCAAATGTCTTATAATAAATGTATAATTTATGATGTTATTCTAAGTACATACTTCTCTCAAAAGCGGCATTGTCCTATTGCAACATCATAGACTATCTAGTTCATATCTTATCATACATAACAATGAATGATATTAAATATATAATATGTATATACATATATTATACATATTATATGTTGAAAATATTGTAAAATTAAAAATATCTTTTTCAGATTCAGTTTTTTATTAAAATATAAATATATTGTTGTTAAATATATTGCAATAATAAAATAATTATAATTATACGATATTATATATACACACACACACACACACACATATATATATATATATATTTATTCATGGATGAGTAATGTACATCTCGCAATCATAATTCGAATGTATGTTACAAAGTCCGTAACACAAAGAGATTAATTATAATATCGATTTTATTTTCTTTGTCAATATCATTATTCAATATTACCATTATATTATACGGTCCATATAATGCAAAATATATGTTGTTGTCTTTCAAGAAAGAAATGATATTTACATATATGAATATATTTTGTAAATAAATGATAGTATATGTAAACTCATAATTTTAATAATTTATTATATATATTAAATAATAAATATGAAGTTTGAAAACTGACATTTTACAATCTTAAAAACGTTAAAATAATTTTTCTTGGAAAATCGGTATTCTCGAAATATATGAAAAATGATCTATTCTAATTCATTTCCTTCTTTACGAATATTTTTTAACTGCACTTTTTAACTTTGTTTAATCTGAGTTAAAGATAATAAATAATATTACTTTAATCAATGTGTGAGTGTGATGAATAAGTAGTCTTTCTTTCAATGGTAAGTACTTATATACTATTTCTTTCACGTGAACAAACTGCATAAGCATGCATTACAGAACAATTTTACAGGTGTTTTCAAGGTAATCTGAAATTAAATTATCAAAAATTATGAAATTCTTTTTTAAAATCGTATAATATTTTTATCTTATCATCATTAATCATAAAATAAAATTTATAATTTTTTAAAAAATATCAATTATAAGTATTATACACATTCAAGATTATTTTATTAATATAATATTAATTTTATTAATATGATATTCAATTTATTGCTATCTTCGTATTGTTTGTTCAATGTATAGCACTAAAATGAATGAATACCTTTACAGAGAAAGAGTTGCTTTTGTGACAGAGGTCGTGATAAAACGCTTACTCATACGTAGTATGTTGCGAATTTTCATCGTTTCTCATATACGATTTATATTTATTAAAAATAGGCTATAACGAATTATCTTAAATAATTACGAAATGTTTTACAATTTCTGGCTATCATAAATCAGAATCAATGGCGAAATAATATTTTTATTAATTGTGATCAAAATAACAAAGAGAAAGACAGTTATTCTCGTAAGCAGTACTTGCAAATATATGTTTGCACAAGTGAATAAAGACAATAAAATAGAAGAAGAGAGAAAGTAAATTTGTAGGACAGTAGAAGGAATGTGATGAAATCAGCTATAATTTATTCAAGTCGTTGATTTACACAAAAACACAAATAACATGTTTGAACCTACAGAACAGGGAAAGGTAAGAAACATTTTTGAGCTATTGCTGTATGTGCTATTGATGATGCAATTGCAATTTTTGTTGTCGCAAAATACAATTAGAATGTATATTCTGTCAATTTCATAAATGACGTAAACATTCAAGTCACATGCATTATTTTTAATACTTCAATAAAACTGAATTAAGCTTTATGCAAAAGCATAATTATATAAATATCATTTATTTCTATATTTGTATCAATTTTGCATTGTTGTCATTTCATAGTTTAATAAAATTCATATGTTTCGTTTGACAATGACATTATAATAGAGGTTATGTTTCATATATACTATAAAATATTATCCATTGTTAACATAGATTTTATAGAATTCTTTCCATAAATTCAAATCTTATTTATTTTATATATTTATATATATATAATTTTTAATAGGATCTCTGTATTCATACGGGAGTTGTATTACGAAGTGCAAGTACAAGAGAAGATGAGGTTCACAGTTTAGGCACATTAAATATCGTTGAATATGTAAGTTGACTTATTTTAATATTTTTGTTAATTATTTTAAACAACATGGAATATTTTTCTGTAAAATTACAGAGTTTTGGGAAATGTATAGAATGGAAACCTATAGAGGACTCTGTAGTATCAGAAAATCAAGATCAAGATCCAGAATGGTCCTTGGTAGATACTCATATCAGACGTACTCGTACTTCATCAGAAGGACCAGATTCTCTTGGACGTACAAGGACTGTTAGAATTTTATTCTCAGATTTAAATTCTTTTCGTGTAAATCATGGGGGGCAACAACTTATATTTATGCAGAAAGATGGTACTACCTATGTTGCCTTCTTTCAGCTATCTAATGCTGAAAGTTTTGTAAATTCTTTAAAAGGATTTATTAAATTTGTAAAATCTCGTACAAATAGAAATTTGTACATTGTAGTAGATGAAGTTCAATCAGTACTAACTAAATCATTTGCTGAATTAGATTTATTTCAAGAAAATACTTCAGATTATGTTTGGAAATTTGTAAAAAATTTACATAACCGTCCATATGAAACAACATTAGAAGCTTTTAGTAAATTGGCAGATATTTGGTGTAAGTATAGATGAATCTTGGAATAATAATTTATAAAATTTTTACTATATTCTTTTTAAATTCTAAATTATAGTATACAAAGATCCAGTTAAACGTCCAGTTGAAGAAGCAGTTGCAGATATATTGAATAATTCTTTTACAATTGATATTCCTCCTCCACCAGTATCTGTAGGTTCAGGAGAGGAATATGAAGTGATTGGGGAATATGAGTTGAGTGTAGTATTACCTCCTAGACCACCTTGTCCAAGGGGTATGTTGAAAATAAATTTATATTAAATTATATTATTAAAAATATATAAATATACATGATTATATTAGGTACTCCACTGTCACAAGAACAGTGGAACAAATATAAGGATCCAGAAGGGAGAATTTTAAATCCTCAAGAAGTAAAAGAAGTTATTTTTCATGGGGTTTGTATATTAATCTAAATATCTAAATAAATATCTCTATTTTTTGATTTAGAATACTAATTATTTTCAAATATAATAAACAAATCAAATAAATTAAAAAATTTTTTAGGGTATTGTACCATCATTACGCTTTGAAGTATGGAAGTTTTTATTAAATTATTATCCATGGAATTCTACACATATTGAGAGATTAGAACTTAAAAAAAAGAAGACTGATGAATATTTTATGATGAAGTTACAATGGAGATCAATGACATCAGTACAAGAGAATAATTTTTCTGATTATCGAGATCGAAAAAGTTTGATAGGTAATATGAAATTTTTTATATGAAATATTTCAAGAATTTCTATAAAAAAATCTATAATATAAAAATATATTTTAGAAAAGGATGTAAATAGAACAGATAGAACACATCCATATTATTCCGGTGATAACAATCCACATTTAGCACAATTATATGATATTCTTATGACATATGTAATGTACAATTTTGATTTGGGATACGTTCAAGGTATGAGCGATCTTTTGAGTCCTATTTTATGTTTAATGGAAAGTGAAGTTGATGCGTTTTGGTGTTTTGTTGGTTTTATGGACAAAGTGGTACGTTTATATTATAAAATTTATAAGTTGTAATAACTTATAAAAATATTTAATTAATCTTGTATTATTATTATACAAAATAGAGTTCCAATTTTGAAATAGACCAAGCTGGAATGAAAGCCCAATTGTGCCAATTATATACTCTTTTGAGTGCCACAGATCCACAATTAGCACATTACTTGAATAAACATGATTCAGGAAACATGTTTTTTTGCTTCCGTTGGCTTTTAGTATTATTTAAAAGAGAGTTTAATGCAGTTGACATAATGAAATTATGGGAGATATTGTGGACTGATTTACCATGTAAAAATTTCCATCTACTTTTTTGTGCAGCTATTTTGGATACAGAACGAAATGTGCTTATGGAAAATCGTTATGGATTAACAGAAATATTAAAGGTAACATAAAAGTTTAAAATCAAGAAGTAAATTTTTTCTTTAAATAATATATAGTATGCATTGTAGCACATAAATGATCTTTCACATCACATTGAATTACCTTGGACATTATCTAAAGCTGAAGGTATTTATTATCAACTAATTTCGGTTGCCGATCAGTTACCTGATAATGTTCGCATAATAATTGGACTTGAACCTATGAATAAAACATCACCAATTAGTGATATAGAGAATGGTGAAGCTTCTGGTCATAACATTGAAGTTGATGAAGCTACTAATAATTCAAGAAGAAGTAGTATAGAAAGTGGCAATATTAAATTTGGAAATGATGAAGTGACATTTGAACGTGGATTAAATTTATCGTATATGTGAGAGCAAGATCGTTCATTCATCATAATCTAATGAACGTTGTATAACAACGTGTTGTTTACAGTCAATTTTGTAAGATTTATCATTCTTAAGTAAAAATATTTATAGTCATATTCTTCAAAGCAAATGTATATGCATTATTTGAAATTATATGACAATGACTATTTGATTTTCATCAAAGTTTATTTTATGCAAAGAACTTAGCATTTTGTTTGTTTAACAAACAAATCATTTTCATCAAAATGTGATATTATAATTCAAATTTTAATTATGAAATTTTGTTATGTACATGTTAAACATTATCTCGAATTTATAAAGTTATAGAGAAAATTGTTGTTAGTAGCGTTGAATTTTGAGATATTTATAAAATTCACTATAAGTGAAAAGATTGTCGATCGTGTGGATATTTAGTAAATAAGAGGTAGTTTCATATTATATGTTCTTTATCTAAATAATACTTTCGATGCACATGAATTGGAAATAGTGAATGGAAACAATTTACAGTGTATTTCAAATATAACTATAAATGTTTGTGTTATTTTCACTTAAGTTCAAATGTCTTTCTTAAATCTGTAAAAAGTCTCATGATAGTACTGTATATTTCTAATAAAAATCACCTAAACTATAAATAAATTGATATTCATAATTTTCTTACATTTTTTAATATTTGAAAGTAACAATGTAAATACATATGTATATTTATATGTAAATACATATCTAATATTGTTATCAACAATGATAATTCGAAAAATGATATGACAATTCGAAAATTGATCGTCTTTTGAATGTATAAATTTATAAAGTAAATATAGACAAAAAGAATAAATAATAAGAAAAGGATAAGGATAGAAATAAATTAAAAATTATAGAATGCCATCTCTAGAATGCTGTAGATGAAATTAATAAAAATAATATAATAGAAGGATAATGATAATAAGAAATGATCATTAGCGTCATCTTTTGAGTGCTATAATATATTTTTTTCAATAAAAAAATTCGAAAGATGGCACTGATGTTTAATTTTTATTCTATTTTTATTAAGAAAGATGCTTTTCAAACTCAAAAGATGGTATTGACAGCAAATTCCTACTCTATTTCGATTTTTTTCATATTTTTATTTTCTATCATTTCTACATAAATTTACGGTATTTACGGTATTCTAGAAATAAAAATTTATAAACTATGATCATCATGCCCATTGTTTTCTTTTTTTACGAATTATTTTGTATTATAACGTCGATATCAACCGAAATTTGGCAAAGATATATGTTACCGATTACTAGAAATCAATTTTTTCAATATATGATCAATAATTTATTAATTTTTAGATTTTTATTATTAATTTATACCTAACAATTTTTTATAATATTAAATATAATAATTAAAATATTCTAATTGTTATTTTATGTGGAAAATAGTTATAAAATAATCATAATAATTTAATAATTTATTAATTTTTAGATTTTTATTGTTTTAATGCATCTATAATTTGTTATGATATTAAATGTAATGAGTAATATATATTTTTTAAATTTAAATTAGATTTATTGTTTTATGTTATTAATTTTCGATTTATAATTTTATTAAAATATTTCTATTCCTTTTTTAATGCAAAATAAAAATTTATTACAATAATATATATAATAATTAATACATTTTTATAAATTAAAATTAGATTTTATTAGTTCTATAGTATTAGTTTTCGGTTTTTAAAGTTAAGATATTTTTTAAATATTTTTTGAATAATAACTGTAAAATAATTTTTAATTTAGAATAATTATATTTAAATTGATATTGAAATGATGAATTGAAAATAATTATGATATAAAATAAAAGTTTATAATTAAAAAAGATAA